CCCCCCCCCCCCCCCCCCCCCCCCCCCCCCCCCCCCAAAAAACCAATTACAATAACAAAAAAGCAGATTTGAAAGACCTTTCTCCTAGCAAGAATTGTAACAACCATTCTGATTTCCATCCCACATCACAGACAACATTTCTGGAACAGACTTGGATTTTCAACATCAGTTCAATGCCAGCAATGAAATAAAAATGAAAACACAAGCTCTCTCCAAGGCTAGCAAACAAGAGACACCTAGAAAGAGCCAAACATATTTTGCTTTGGCAAAACGATAATGATCAGTTTCTATCTTAAGGAGCTGTGAACTCGCTTATCCTCACTTGTGAAATTTTCCAAGACTGTACTCCATTCAGAGCAGAAAGCTGCTGACTCATGAGGACAATTGATTAATCTCCCTGGAAGATGTTTTTGGAAAACTGCATTTTTGCGGTGCCTCTTTGGAGCCATCCCCTTTAGACGTGAACGCACAGTCTGGAGGGTTTGGACAGTGAGGTCCAGCCTATGTCTCCCAGGTGTAGACCCAAGGAGTCGGTTCTCCCGCCCAAGAACAACAGTCTTAGCATCAAGTGCAGCAAGATGCTCTCATGCTTGACGCACCTACCTGTCCTGGGTACCGCCCACAGTTAGTAGAGAATCTGGGTTGCCATGGAAACAGAGAGCGATCAAGGTAGAAGAAGCGCAGGGGGCAGCATCATTGCCCCTTAAGGAAATGGAAGGATGGTCTTAAGTGTGATAGACTCTTTCAGCCCCTGGATGATGACAAATTATAAAAACGCATGCTCTGACTTTGTGATTTCGTTTGTGCTGATTTCATAGGCATTGCAAATATTCACCCAATGTTATTCCCCACTGGTCCCTAATCACATGAAAGGCTGAAAGAGTCTACGGCAGATGGGAGACACTTGGGGCAATGCAAGAACACAGGACCCCAGAGCTGAAATGCCCAATGGTCCAGCATGCGGAAGATGAGAATGAAATGGTTCTGCCATTTAATGCATAACTTACATTCTCCTCTGCACCTGCGGGGACTGAATCCTCTTTAACTGACTAAAGGGAAGATAAAAACAAAAGTAAGAGTCAGAATGTTACCAAAAAATGGAGAGTTCTTTGGGCCAACAGCCCTCTGGTGCCATTCTTGGACACTGAATTGCTTACGCACACCTGGTTCCAAAGAGAACTTGAGAGAGACTTACGCGGGATCACACGGTACAGCAAGATGATAAATAGTTATGTATTTGAAAATGCAACGAAGGGAAAATAAATACCCAGACGCGGCCAGGACACGAATGGAGTGGGGGAGAAGCGTTGCTACAGAAAACACAGACCACAGCCTCGGCTGTGGGTCAGCGACACGTCTGCCTTAACATTTTCTGCTTGTTGATGAAAATCACACAAGACACAGTTGCTGTCAGGTAAAAACAAATGAGCCGCTCAGGAAAATTCTGGCAGTTGAGCCCAGAGACATCCATCCCATGGCACACATAGAGCAAATAGGTGGTGAGGTAACGAGCAGGGTCTTTGGCCTTATCCTGACCGTAGAGCAGTGGCCAGCATCGATAGCTGCTTCATCCCTCAACATAGGCCAGTGGCATCGTGCCAAAGTTGAATCCTGCTGGAACCCTTCTCTGGAGGCCCAGAAGGCTGGGGTCTAACACACCCAACTTCAGACACTATTCCTCCCTACAGTAATTCTGTCATACGCAGACTGCCTCAAGGAGGGGGGCGATTGCCCCAGTGCCGTCAAAGGTCGAGGCCACCATTACATGACGACCGTTTGCGAAGCTTCAACTTTGGAGATGATCTTTGCAGTTGTTCTTAAATTTGGCAGGGAGGGGTTGTGGCGGGGTGATGTTCGCAGACCGCTTTGAGACCCGCTTGGCAGATCTGGACTCTTTCCAGAAAAATAAACACGAACCAAATATTTTGCCCATCATTTTAGGGTGTTCATAGCTGGATGCCAGGCTAAGAACTCTTCCCTACGTTCATTTTGTTCTAAGTCCTGTGCTTATTTTTACCTTCAAACTATGCAGGAGGGGGGGAGAAAGGAATCGACCTCCCCAAATACGTCTCCCTGTGCCGTGGACACGGATCGTACACCTGCATCTACCTTGCATGTGCAGGGGCTTTGTACACACCATCGCACTGAAAGTGGCCCCAAGCGGTCAGGAGGGTGATCGTCATTTATGTAGACAGAAATGGAGACACAGGGAGGCGAAGTCACTTGTTCAAGGTGGTACAGCTAGGGAGCGGTCGAAGTGGTTCCAAGAGCCAAGTTCCAAGACCCTCAGACCTCAAGGGTCTGAGTCACGCTTTGTAGTAGCTGTGTGAGCTTCCTTCTCCACGCCCAGATTTGCTTTCTCTCTAGATGACATGTTCAGCTTGGGCCACATTTATCAACAGTAGCTCTACGGAACCCGTTCTGTGAGCCGAGCCTGGATCTCACATGTAACGTATACCTGCACCAGCGCTCAACACACAATGACAACTGGAGGCTTCAGGCGGTGTCCCCCTTTCCTCCTCACGTTTCCCACCGAGCAGAAAGCCCACGGGCAGAGCAACCAGCAGCATCGAATTGCAATTCGCTCTTTCCCACAGCCAGGGGGTCCGGTGTGATAGATGGAAGACGAGAATGAAAACTGGACGGTGCTGCTGATGCAACGGCTCACTTCAAAGCAGACGACAGGGGCTCTTTCGGCGCAAGTCCCATTTCTGCAGGCCGGGAGGTGCTCGTTGGGTTCCCAAGCTCTCCGGTGAGAAGAACACAAGAGGGTGTGGGGCTAATCGGGAGCCACATGGAGCGCAGGACTCCCATTCAAATCTCAAACTAGAAACTTCTCATCTCCTTCAATGAACTGGGCATCTGGCTGTTATCCGCTGAGCCTACGGACTGTCCAGCCTCCTTCACCATCCCAACCAAAACCCACTTTGAAACTAAAGGATCCTGCTTGGGCATTTATATTGCTGAGAACGAGGGCCTAAACAGCTCCTGAACTCATCAGTATAAACTCACACAGCAAAGGATCCCGTCCTTTGAAGAGCACATTCGTGAAAGGATGTTTTTTTAAAATCCCGTCACATGGTAGCACTTAAGCCAACAGACATCCCGTGGCTAGCAGGTCTTCTGGAAGCATCATTTTGATCATGTGACAGCTGTTCTGAGTTCACTGGTTTCACAGTGGCCCTAAGACCTTTCCTCAAGCTTAGACGTTTCAGCCCGCCTTTCAAGTGCTTCCATAATTGTCCGGCCATATGCCAGACTCTCTTAACCAGGATTCCCGTGGGTTCTGGGATCAAATGCAGGCATCTGTGTTTGAAGCAGATAACTCAGAGGATCCAGAGGATTTTCAAAGTCCTCTCACTCTGTTTTGACCTATACCAACTGCTCCCTTTTCTAAACACCCACGGCATTTGTAACCTGCCCCCCACACATGAACACCGGATTCCAACATCATTGTTTCGGAACAGGGCCAGTCACTTTGCATTCGTTCTCCGACTCAGTCCTCCCACTAACCACAGAAGGTAGATGCCACAGTCTGTCCCCAGAACTGAGGAAAGTGAAGCATGGGGGATTCAAGTCACCCCATCACATTCAAATGGCCAGTAACTGTCAGAGCTGAGATTTGATGATGTGTCTCTTTGACTTCAGGGCTCCCATTATTTTTCCCACACCATCGTTCCTCTCCTCCAAAGGAAGGCAGGGAAAGCTGCTTTCTGGGCTAAGAACTCTTCCCTATGTTCATTTCGTTCTAAGTTGTGCTTATTTTTACCTTTACACTATGCAGGAGGAGGGGAGAAAGGAATCGACCTTCCCAAATACGTCTTCTTGCGCCGTGGACACGGATTGTATACCTGCATCTACCTTCAAATACCCACTTGAAGATATTTCAAATGTAGCATTTATTAATGGTGCACGTGCACACACACTTGCAGGTGCAGGCATATGTATGTGCCTTGTTCCCCCAAATGGACTTTAGGTGTTTCGACAGCAGTACAAATGAGCCTTAGTCTTGTTTTGTGCCTTTTGTTGGCATCAAACGCCACACATGGATGTTTAGATCATCACCAGCAACTGTTCATACCTGAAGAAATGATAAAACTGTTCGTGGAGCCCTTACTATGTCCGAGGGTCTCTCTGGGTACAGTTATTGGACTGTCACAACAACACAGTGAGATGAACACGTCCCTACTTACACAAAGGAAAACAGAGGCTTTCGGCGGTCGAGCAATTTGTCCAAACTTTCTGATTCTGTCTGTCATGCAAGACTTGCCACATACAAGAAATTTTCAAGATCATCTATTTCCTTTCAAGATCAACCCTTTCCTTCAACAGATGAGGAAAAAGAAACTCAAAGAGGCTGAGTAACTTTTGGGAGGTCACAGAACAAATGGTATACCAAAGACCCCAGAACAATAAAGGGCATAGGTAGTCCAGTCACTGGACTCGAAACAGTTTTTGGCAAATACGACATCATTTGAACTTAATTTTCTCAAAGGTTGTTTTTGTTATTTTTGTTTTATAATAAGAATGACTTTCGCAATCAAGCCTATAAATCAAAATAACTTATAATCTCGTATCCACAGCGTGTTAGGGGAGAATTTTATTTCTGATGTTCATATTGTGGACGCACACACTTCAAAGTCAGTTTGTGTAAAAGCTTCTCAGTTACAAGAGGAGAAGAAAGAGAGCTTGGGTTAGCAGAAATATCAAAATTCTCTAGCATTCCTCTTTGTTTCTTTTCCAAAAATTTTTACAACAGTGATTTTATAATCAAGTGTTTTCTAATTTGAAGAAAACAGAGGTCTTCATTTTGTTTTCTACTAAAACATACATCCCCCCATGAGATTTTCAGCTGCACAAGGGGACCAGTCTGTTCGCTCTATCTTTTCAATGCCTTAGCACCCAGCACTTAGCACAAAAAAACTCAGCACAAAGAAAGAAGCTAAAAATACTCTTGCATGAGTGAATCTCGCCTGTATTTTACGTTCATCTAGAGCTGTCTTCCTGATTAGGTGGAAGAAAGAAAAACAAGATTTACCGGTGACTGGGTTTTAGTGTCTCTTCATTATTTTTATAATCTACTCAAGAAATAAAGCCAGATAATCGAGGAAAAGGAAAAAAACCAATGAGACTGACCTATATGAAATCTGATCATTAGGGGGATGAATGTCAACTGGTCCTGTTTTTTCTTCAATGGAAATAGCTTGAGTTTCAAAGAGGAACCAATATATCCCTCAGAGACCCCAAAGATAAGGAAAAATTAAGTATTTGAGGCTCAGTAGCTTAGCAACTTCTCCAAACTGGAGGGTATAGAAAGAGGAAGTGTGTCCCCTCCTGAACACACAGGAGATAAATGACATAGGTCAGAAGGACAATTCATTGGCCACTTTTTTTTGAAAGTTTATTCATTTATTTTGAAAGAGAGAGGGCGTGTGCATGAGCAGGGGAAGAACGGAGAGAGAGGGAGGGAGAGAATCCCAAGCAGGCCCTGTGCACAGCCTGACACAGGGCTTGATCCCACAAACTGTGAGATCATGACCAGAGCTGAGATCAAGAGTCAGAGGCTCAACTGACTGAGCCACCCAGGCCCCTGTCATCGGCCACTTTTGTGCTAGGCGTGGTGTTAGGGGGTTTGCGGGCATTCTTTTTATCTAGTCTTCATTTCTCCGTCTAGGTACCCTTATTATTTGCATTTTACGAATTTTGAAACTGAGGCTGCTCATCCAGGCTCATCGGACCCAGAGTCAGATCTGTCTGCACCAATCAGCGTTCCTCAGACTTCCATCACTTGCCAGCCACCTTGCCAGCATGGTCTTGGCCACATTTCATGTACCTTCTGCGGCAGCCACGGAGTGTGCCGTTTCCCTGCTGGGAGAGCTTCCCACCCACACCTCTTCGGCATCCACTACCGAGTTAATGTTGAGGCCACGCTCCCAGGCAATGACTGAGCACGGCAGGGTACTGGGCCATTCTTGCTCAACATACGACTCCTCGTGGGCAAGCTCTGCTCTGGGATTTCCCGTTGGCTCAGAGCCACCCTGAGTCCATGGCTTTTCTGACCTTCTCCGCCTTCCTTCCCTGTCTCTCTTCTCCTGTGTCAGACCCTCACTATGGTGTGAAGTCTCTCTCTACCTACTCCTATCCCCTGTCCTTTATCCTTCATGCCGCTTGCCTCCAATAAATCTACTGCACATCAATTCTGTCTCAGTGTCGCTCCTTGAAGGATCCAAATTTATGATCAGGTAACAGTTCCTTTTTAATAGGATTGCTTCTTAAGCTAAACATCTACAGTCTCACCTTGAACAACATATATATTAAATCTTGAGTTTAATGTGCTGGCTCAATTTTTCTAATGCACTTTAAATATGTATAATTGTTTAAATAAAAATGTTTGAGTACGGGTTGCCTAAGTCATCTTCCTGGCCACCAAACTGCACATCTGATTCACTCGGGAACTGTTGCCTGCCTTGTATTGGTGATAAAAGCTTTTTTGAAAGTAAGTAATTGGCGGTTGGGAAGGAAGGAGACCAGAACAGGATGCCAAATGACATCACCCAAAGTTTTCATTAAGTATTAGAGTTTGTGTTTTGGGCAGGACCCAGAAGAAAGATATCTGTGCAACAGAAAACAAACAGGGAAGAGTTCCAGAAATCCAGCTGGATTCTGGACCAAAGAATACAACGAACACCACAGGGGCATCTGTATTAATCACCTGCCTTGTATCGCATGCCAAGTTTTGCACGTTTTGCGTGGATGTTTTGATGAAATTACTAATTAGATCTTTTTCAGCTCTATGAATTATATTCCACTTTCTCACCCACGGCTTCTTGCTCATCTTTTGGCCACATTTAAAAGAGGCAAGAGTTCTGAACATGTGTGGCAGCTGGGGTTTGCTCAACAACGATGATCAAGGAATAGCTCTCAGACTGACTCAGCCCCACCCACCACACTCCCTCGCACGCCGCCTGAATTCTAGAGGGAAAAAGATCGGACGGTGGTGTGAATGCCCCTATCACAGAGCACGCTGTGTGCCCTGCCCTGGTGGAGAATGGTGGACACCTTGGTTTTCTAAAAGGAGAGTGAGCCTTAGTGGTTCCTAATGACAGATTATATCTTGCAGGGAAAGAGGGAGGGAGCCCAGAGGTGGTTCAGCTCGCTGGAGTGAGAGTGCTCGGAGGAATCCAGGAAGAAGCCAGACTACTAAGCCATTTTAGTAAGAAGATGAAGTCACGAAATACCACAACTGTCTGTCATGAGCTGGAATAACTCCAAGAATGAAAAAATCTGCGTGTTTATTTCCTTTCCTTTCCCGTGAAACATATGCACATGACCCGATAGGCATTTCATTCTTCCCAGGAGTAAATTACAAGTCTTCAACTCAATGGCTAATTGAGTCATTTGGGAGAAGAAAAATAAACTGTGTGCTTTGTGAGCACATGAATTGGCCCAGTTGAAATAGTTTCTCAAGTCTTCCGAGCCCCAAAGTCTCCCCAAGTCTTGAAAATAGAACTTACCTTTTTCCAGAACAGTTTGCTCAGAGGCAGAGAGGTGGGTGCCCCCTTTTCCTTGGGGGCTTCCTTCGCTGTTTCAGAGGATGTAGGATTCTTGGCCGTCCCTCTGGTCTCCTGGGATATAAAGTTAGCTTTGTCTGACTGGACGTCAGGTGACGGGACAGGTGGCTTTTCAGCACCCTATAAGAGTAAAAAAAGAAGTAAAAATTAAAGTGATGTCAGGATTCCAAAAGCGAAAGGGCTCTTTTTTATAAATACAGGCTGGGGTTATGCATGTTAGTTTTCTTTTTCACAATTTTCTGTGCTTGCAAATATTCTATGTGAATGTGGATTTGTGTTAAAATTTTGGAAAAAAGTCAAGTTATTTTCCTTTTGCAAAAAACTATATTATGTTCTTGTAAGTCATTAGGGATCAGGGTGCTCGTAGGAGGCACTTTGCTGTTAGAATGTTGTTAGTTCATATTGAGTGGCCTTCAAGTGGTTTTGGTCATGTTCCCACCAGTAAAAACATCTTGAAGAGGCACCTCCAATACATCCGTGTTCCTATTATAAACGTATATTATGTCACTCGTCCAAGTTAGACATTAAAGGAGGTATAAGGGACATAAAGAAAGTATAGGTATAAGGGACATAATCTCCAACTTGCAGCTTTTAATAAAACTTAACTTTTACGAAAAGGTACCTGTGCCAGGCACTGCTCTAAGGGATCGAATGTACTAACAATAGCTCTACGAGGAAGGAACTAATTACTATGTTCATTTTACAGTGAAGGAAATGTTGGTCCCAGGTTGTTATAAAAAAAACTTCCCTACGACTACACTAATAAGGGGGCAGAGTTGACATCAAAATCCAGGGAGTCTGATACCCACACCCAAACTCTTACCAGCTCCCCTATAATACCCTGCCTCTAATGAACTAAGGTCTCCCCACTCCCTGTGCTATCGTATGCAGCCAGGGAGAAAATGTCTAAAAAAAAGCTTCATGGCCAGAAGGTGAGAATGACAAAAAAACTGAGAAACACATCTACACCCATCAGTTTCATTGGGAAACTGATGGGTACTCCTTTTCTCTTTACACTGGGAAAGTACCCAGAGACCCTTGAAAAAAACATCGCAAGAGGATAACTCTATTATATATAGAATAATATAACTGTAGTATATTTGTGTAATTGTTCGTTGAATAGGCACCTCCCTGGCCAGACCATGAGCTCTGAGGGTAAGAGCCATTGCTTTGGTCAGCATTATATCCCTAGCTCCCATCAGGCCCAGTGTCTGGCATAAGATAGGCATTAAATAAATAGCTAAATAATTGTCTAGAAAGGACTGGAGAGCAATGCCTACACGGGATCCTGTTATGTTGTGTTTCTACCCACCCTGCCCCTCCTTACTGGGCTATGGGGTCATAGGCTACCAGTAGTCTTTTCTCCTTGCCCACCCATCTCCTCACTTCCCAACGAAGTGCCCCAGATGGTGTTCTGCCAGCATAAACTGAATTAATACTCTGCATTATGGAAGAGATTACAAAAATTCTGTGTTTTTTGGAGTCAATCTCCTGGATGGATTCAGATATGCCAAATACAGCAAACACTCTCAGTAATGAGAATATAAGATACCCTGTCCATTTGCATTTCAGATCAACAAAGAAAAATTCTGAGGCATCGGAACATAGGTCCCCGGGACATATTTATCTTTATACTAAAAAATTATTTGCTGTTTATCTGAAATTTGAATTTGGCGGAGTATCTGTAGGTTATCTGGCAACCCCACATATGAAATTCTAACATTAGATTTGGAGATTGCATTTCAGATGACCTTACCTTCTTCCCTAATATGTCTTCACATTTGGGTGTGGGAGAGGAGAGGGGTTAGTAAGATATAAACATTACACTGAAGTGGAAAACAATGACCGTATGGCAGAGCTTATGAATTAAATGAGCCAGCTACTAAAATTTTAGCTGCCCCGCAGAGAGGGCGGACATCAGGAAAACCTGAGTGGGGAGAGGAGCATTCCTGGGCATGGCAAAAAAAGTCCTAAAACAATGCCTTGCTTTGTGTGCACGTTGTCATGTTCAATGTTAGAAGAACATGTGAAAAAGTTTGATTCCGAAGCATAGCATGTGACGAAGCCAAGAGAAAAAGATCCCGATTCAGCAAAGCAAAGCTGACGCTCTTATTATTTATAACAATACGCTTATTTCGCTTATTAACTCCTGGCCTCCCTACTTTTTTAAACCAAGAAAAAAAATGTTTAAGAAAATTCTTCTTATAGAAAGAAAAATTGAGATACAGAGAAATGAGCCTAGGAGTTGATCACGACTGGTAACCACTGCTTTTTTTTTTTTTTTTTTAATAGCAAAACCAGAAGACGATGTTTAATCCCTGAATTTGCTTGGATTTCCTCTTTTCTGTCCTGGGTTCCAACGAAATTGAGGGTGAGTGGCACAGCTCCTATAATCATGCCACAATCTGGCTGGTTGGTCTTAATGGCCCTATTTCTCTCTCTGTTTGGATGACAAACGAAGAAAAAGGAGGCAAAAGCCAGTAAGTTCTACCAAACTCCTGCAAAAATGAGAATTGAGAACATTTGAGAATTGTCTCCTACTTTTACACAAAAAATAGACTGAACGTAACTCAAGGCAAAATCTTTCAGTCCTCGTGTTGGCATTACAGAATCCCAGGAAGGGGCACCTCTTCCTGCCAGTATTTCCCGAATCCTATCTTTGCCCGAAATGCAAGGCAGTGGCAGGATGTGAGACCAATGATCGGGGGAGAAACCTTAGGAATACTGAACTTGGGTGGTCCCCTTTGTGTGGAGGAAAGAGATTCTGGAGACATGAAACTTTGCTGTGCATGAAATGAATTTCCTAATGAAATGCAGACATGAGGGGGAAAGTCATACGTTTTGTAAACTTTCAGGGCCCCCTCCTCACAGAAGCTCCGGGTGGGAATTCGGGTGGATGGCTTTGCATAAGGTCTATGACACATTTCGCTAGCAATTACCAAATTGTCTCTCACATAGAGTAGCACCACTTTTTAATCTCCACCCCCCCGCCCCCCACCCCGTAATTTCTATCACTCCGCCCTCTCTGTCTTTACAAAACAAAACAAGCCTGTGCGGAAATTAAAGCGTGTCTTCATAACACGGTTTGCTTATGCAAATATAGATGCAGCCAGGAGATCTTTCTATGGAGCCTTTCTTTGCATACACCATCCTGGGACTCTAACATCCAGCTGGGGAAGGTTTTTTAACAAGTTCATTCAACCTAGTGGAGAATGGTTGATGTTTTAAACACATGTCCAACGAATGGATAAAGAAGATGTGGTTTATATATACAATGGAATACTACTTGGCAATGAGAAAGAATGAGATCCCGCCATTGGCAGCAACGTGGCTGGGACTGGAGGGTATTGTGCTGAGTGAAATGAGTCAGGCAGAGAAAGACAGAGACCGTAAGTTTTCACTCCTGTGTGGATCTTGAGAAACGTAACAGAAGACCGTGGGGGAGGGGAACGGGGGAAAAGAAGTTACAGAGAGGGAGGGAGGCAAACCATAAGAGACTCTTGAGGACTGAGAACAAACTAAGGGTAGATGGGGGGTGGGGGAGAGGGGAAAGTGGGTGATGGGCAGGGAGGAGGGCACTTGTTGGGATGAGCACTGGGTGTTGTATGGAGACCAATCTGACAGTAAATTATATTTAATAAAATAAAATAAAATAGATAGATCGATAAATAAATAAATAAATAAATAAATAAATAAGATAAACAATGTCCAAGCATGCTGGCCCAATTCAGGGATCTTAACTGGTGGTTTCAGACGAACACTGGTGTCTTCCTAGAAATTGAGAGTGAAATCTTCACAACTAATTCTATGTTGTCCTCACTTTCCAAGGACATGGAGATAGAAATTGCTCTGCCTTCATTCATTGTTTCGTTCTGTCTGGGCTTTTATTTGGGCTTAGGATGAGCTTAGTTGATACTGAAAATGGAGGGAACAGGCCACAGAAAGACAACGTTATTTTCTTGAGGTTAGAAGAGTATTTCCCAAAGCGTAGGAAGCATACCATCGGTGGCATCACAGGTAATTTTAGATTGCGCAGAGACGTAACGCTTAATTCAAATTGCATTTTAATGGAGCTAGAAAGGCATTGGATTCGGAGCTTAACACAAACAAGGTAGCTAGAAGGTCGTTACTTTTTAATTAGCCATATTAATGGTTAACTCTTTGCGAAAAATGACTCCAGTTTTCCATGTATGATGTAATAAAAGTTTTCTTTAAAGATACCTTTAAATAGGAATTGAGTCCATTTTAATGAAAAAGATCAACTGAACCGTGCTAAATCTGACAAAAATGATTACGATAGTATGCATACTTTCGACGTTTGGGAAACACGGAGTTAGAAGGATCATTCCAGAACCCTGGTCCACACTAGGAAGAAATGAGCCAGATGTTTATTTATAACTATGGAGATTTAAAATAATCATTGAAATTTGATTCACAAAATCTTTAATGCCCTCTAATGATCCCAATCATACAAGGCTGTCTTCCCTGAAGCAGGGCTGAGGGGACATAGGACATGGGACAGCCACCTGTACCATGTGGTGAAGACCAGGGTTCTTTCTTTTTTATTTTTTTCTTTGTTATTTAACAAGATACAGACCTTATGCCTAAAGAATTTCCTAAAGGCGAATCCTAGCCTGGGGCTATGCAGGGGCTTTTTCTTGGTGGCTTTAGCTTGGATCTCACAGATCTTCTGCCCAGCTTGTCCATCACAGACACTTTCTGCTTTGGATGCCTTTTGGGCAACAGCGGTCACAGCTTAGAACTTTTGTTTTTAGACAAAATCCATTTTTTCCCATTGTTTTTAAGTGCATTGAAACGCTTTGACAATTAACTGCCGAGACAGCACCCCCCATCCCCAAACCAGAACATTCCCATCACGTAAATGACTCTCTTTTCTGAAACGCTCAGAGACAATGTGCTGCACAGTATACTCACAGTCCATTTCAAGCACACCTTAATTTTCATCAGGGCGGCCTACTTAAATGACCCAGATTAACACGACTTGCTAAAGACAAGGACCGGACATTTAAGCTCCGACTATATGATATAAAACATTCAGATTTAAAAAAGATACACAGCCCCTACTTGACAGTTTTCAATATCTAAATGCTATTGTCACACGGGAAGGAAAAAAATACCTGAAGACACACAATTTATTTTTGCATCCGGAGCCAAGGCAAACACTGCCTTGAGGGGCTTCCTTTCTCCAAACGATCTTTTATTCAGTATTAGAAACCTCAGGGAAGCAGGATCATCCATAAAAACTTCAGCTGACTTCTAGTCGAGCAGATCTCTCTGGCAAAAAAAGTGTCCACTGTGTGCCAGTCCACAGAGCCAGAGTGGGGGTGGGGTGGGGGGAGATTGGAACTGAAATAACCCAGCGACAACCATTCAGAATTGTTGACTCGAGTTACAAATGGCGGGGGATTTTGTGTGGGGCGTGTAGTGCGCTAAAAACCGTCTGGGCCAGATGGGAAGATGGACAAATGGTGTAGATGTTTCAAATGCAAGGATCCAAGAACTTCAGTAGAAAGGATGTTAAAAAGGCAGGTTTGTATAAAGGGATCTGTTTGTATCATGGACAACCTACAGTCACAAAACTCTCTTTTGAGACTCGGTTCTACTAGCAGTGACCTTGACCTCTCTGGGCAGGGTAGTGAGATTTTATCAGCTATGTACGTGCAGTTGGGACCGCATTCTGGGGGGGGAAGAGTCTTGGTGTATGAGCAGCGGAAGAGAATGAACGCCATCGGGTCACTTGAGAAGCCACGCAATTCGCCCACATACCCCACTGTTTTTAGCCTATTGTGCTGACTATGTGACTTTAAACCATGCAAGACACAGAATCAAAAGAGAAACATTTGGACGCAACTATTCATTGAACTTGACCCTAGCTGACTTGCAGCAAACGACTAATTTTAAAGGAAATGCATGTAGATGACTCATATACATATATATATATTTTCTAACATAAGAAGAACATTCTGGAAGGACCAATCAATACAGTACAAATGTAATAGTGGTGGTTCAATATGTCCTGCAGCAATTATGGAAATCGTGATCACCTACATTTGAATAGAATTCCGTGGTTTACCAGGCATTGTCATATTTTCATTCAATGCTGGGGGATGGGGGGAGATGGAATTTTTGTTGTCCTGATTTGACAGATGTTGAAATTTGGATTCACATGGGTTAGGATCACATCATACAGCTACCACATAGCAGGACCGGAGCTCAAACGCAGGTCTTGAGATAAATTCCAGGATCCTTTTCACAACCTGGCCCCTTCGAAAATTGGTAACAGATGTGTCGGGCTGGCCACGCCATTTATTTGGTCCCAGTGTCTTTCAAAGCAGTTATCAAAAGGAGGACCCAAGACACTTATCTGTCACCAAGTTAAACTTTCCTCCCGATTCCCGTGAAAGTTAAACCATGTGTTCCATTAGGGATAATCAGTTCTGTCAAGTGTAAAGGAAAACATCTCTAGAAAGTAGTTGATCCAAACAAAATTTATTTTGAGGGGAATTGGTTGAATCTCTAGGAAGACGGGAAAAAACTCGGTCTCTCTAGGGCATCCTAACTCTAAACATTCCTTCCTTTGGCAAGTGTCCAATGGTGACTATTTCATTTCACCAAACAACTGCCTTCGTGGTGATTTATTCTTTTCAAATTACATGAAAGACACAGAATATATTTTTTAGAAACCGGAAATATGGCAGCTTACTTCTACCTCCAATTGGATCTCATTTCTTTCTCATTTCCAGTGGCTTCTCCATACTCTGTACCCTATTCCTATATTCCTTGGGTCTCTCTATACACAGCTAACAAGACTACATGATACACGGTTACCGGTATTCAGTTCTTACTTTATATAAGAAACTGGTTACTGTGACATTATATATCCAGAGTTAGCATATATTTCAAGCTTTCCACTAAAATTTTCATTAAAATATCATTGACATGAATGAAATGTTTTAAAGACAGTCTAACAGCACTTTTCAATCACTACATATGTAGGTAAGTATACACGTGCCTACACACACATGCACACACACAAAACTCAGGACGCGAAACAGCAGACGCAAACCCAAATCCAACTCTACACCCAAACCCAAGCGTCACCCTTCAAACTACCTACCGTATCTTCCAGATCTTTTTTTGTTTCAGCTTTGTTAGGTGAAACCTTAAAATGTAAGAAAACCAAATATTAAAAATCATAGCTAGCTCATTAGGCAGGGTGATTTGATTTCATAGATACATTTTTTTTGTCTTTGTTTTTTTTCTGGGGGGTGGTGGTAAAATTCACTCTGCTGGTAAAGAATGCAATGAGAAGTCCTTTCCAGTAGAAAGGAGTTCTACCAAGTTCAGTAGAAAACCACGGACTTCTGGATAATTTCTAGGTATAGAAAAGCTAAAAAAATTAATATTTTATAATGAAATGTATCAGATCTTACACATTCACTAAGGGCTTGACCACATTCAAAACTGTCTCCTGGAAGGCCACGGATTTCCCATGAATTCTACCACCAATCCAAAGAAACGCACAACCCTTTGGTGTTTGTGGCACGTTCTGTTGACTTGTTTTACCTTTTGAAGTTAGTCTCGGACTTTGGAAATAACTGGAACACACCTGCAGCTGTCTGTTTGATCATTCATTCATTCATTCAGCCCTCTTTTGCATGTCTGACATGTGACTGTCTGTGGCTTCCTTGAGGAATCAGAGATAAGCAAGCAATACAAGACACGGGTCCTTGCCTCTATGCAGTTAAAGTAGATTTAGATGTAACAAGATAGGGAATTATTTCTATAGTTTTATCTGCCATTTGGGTGGCAAAACTACGTCGATAGGTCCACAACTCAAGGAGCTATTTTCCAACTATGTTTATGATCAATGACCGTAAGACATGAAACTACTGTAGAGTTCCATGACAACACAGCTCATGTCACACACAGTTTGGGCACCCAACGTTCATATCATGGTCCTCAGCTCTGAGGACAGCGTGATGCGACATGATCCCCTTGCAAGGCACCTCTTGCCCCCCTTCTCCAGTGTTCCAGCTGCACCATCATGGCGCCCCATTCAATACAATGACATCCAAGGACGTGTTATTCTTAGAATTAACCAAACTTTTGAGCAATGGGATTGAGGAAAGAGGGGGAGGAAAACACTTACCAGAGTTTTAAAGAAGCTCATGATGGAATTGCGGTTCTCTGTTGTATCTGTTGCCTGGGGGTCCTCCTTTGCAACGTCCAGTTCCTCTGGGTCCCCGGGGACAGAGCACCTCACAGTTGGGATCTCTTGTCCTTCCTTCCCCTTGCTGTCAACTATGTCCTAGGTGTCAAACAGAGTCGCCACAGTTTCCACTTGTTGAATGTGGACTCTCACAGCAATATTTTTGCTTCACACCCCTCTCTCCCTTACCCCCTAATTCCAGCCATACTTCTTCTGCCCACGGGGATGCAGAACAATCGGGAGCTTATGAGAATCACTCTTCCTTCCCCTCCTCTGCTTTCTAACATATTCAGCATTTGCAGTCAGTTGGAGGGACATTGTTTGGAGCCAGAGGGGAACAAACACAGCAGGGCATGTTGCATCCCCGAACAAAACCTCTTTTCTCCCAATTCTACAAAGAGGCTGTGTATGATGCCAATATTTCCCAACTTCGTGGTCACCTAGTCTAGTGATCCGTACGTTAGCCCCAGAGACGCCTCCATTTGACTTCCCACAATCTCCACAGTAAGAATCATATCAGCTTTTTAAAAGTACCGTTGTTTTATTTTTTATTTTTTTAAAGTTTATTTATTTTGAAAGAGAGAGAGATTGAGCGGGAGAGGGTCAGAGAGAGAGAGAGAGAAAGAGAGAGAAGGAGAGAGGGAGAGAGAATCCCAAGCAGGCTCCGCACATTCAGCACAGAGCCCAGTGTGGGGATCGAACTCATGAACCATGAGATGGTGACCTGAGCTGAAATCAAGAGTTGGATGTTCATCCGACTGAGCCTCCCAGAGGCCCTTAGCCCTGTCTACCTTTCCCCATCTCTACAGCCCTAGCCTAAGCCAGGTTACTTCAAACCCATTCATTCTTCAGGCTTGATCTCGAGTTTCCCTCCCCCTCCCCCCACCACTGACATCTCTCTGGGTCTTGCCGGCCACGACATCTGTTTCCTTCTCTGAGTTTCTGTGCCCCGTTCTCCTCTGCACTCACTTTGGACGCAGGTTATGTACGTCAGATTAGCCTAATGCCAGAGGCCGGGCCAGAATAGCCTGCATTAAAAATGGGGCTTTTGTGGGACAGCTATAAAAATACAAAAATACATTTTGATGAAGATTTTAAAAGGTAATAATAACACACGTATCCTGCAAGGTTTGGCTCAGCCCCGGCACTCTTTCTTTTTTTTTTTTTTTTTTTTTAATTTTTTTTTCAACGTTTATTTATTTTTGGGACAGAGAGAGACAGAGCATGAACCGGGGAGGGGCAGAGAGAGAGGGAGACACAGAATCGGAAACAGGCTCCAGGCTCTGAGCCATCAGCCCAGAGCCTGACGCGGGGCTCGAACTCACGGACCGTGAGATCGTGACCTGGCTGAAGTCGGACGCTCAACCGACTGCGCCACCCAGGCGCCCCGACCCGGCACTCTTTCTAAATGGAGAGGTGCTTCTCGTGAAATGTCTCATAAAGAAGTGGAACTTCGTAAAACTAAAAGCAGATAAAAGCTATGGCCTTGACAAGCTTGTTGGGTTTTCTAGTTAATTCCAGGCAAAAACTGTTTTGCTTTGGAAGAGAGGCTCTTTTGAAAAAAAGAAAGAAAAAAACAGGTTTCACGTGAGTTGAATTTTTTTTTATTCTAAGGTAGAATGTAGTGATACCAACATTATTTATTCAGTTGATAGGAAGGATGGTTGAAAATGTTGTTTATAGCGGATGAGTGGTAAGATACCTACAGGTACGGGGATTTCATGTTAGGTGCTACGCACGCGCACACAGAAAGTTATTGTTTTGGTGTGCTTTAAAAAAATATTATTCGGGGCACCTGGGTGGCTCAGTCGGTTAAGCGGCCGACTTCAGCTCAGGTCACGATCTCGCGGTCCGGGAGTTCGAGCCCCGCGTCAGGCTCTGGGCTGATGGCCCAGAGCCTGGAGCCTGTTTCCGATTCTGTGTCTCCCTCTCTCTCTGCCCCTCCCCCGTTCATGCTCTGTCTCTCTCTGTCTCAAAAATAAATAAACATTAAAAAAAATTTAAAAAATAAAAAAATATTATTCCTGGCACCAGATCTTTGGTACTGTGGATATTTTTGCTTAGGTGAAGCTGAGTGAAAAGAGATTAAAAAAAAAAAAAATGTTAGTTAACATACAGTGTAGTCTTGGTTCCAGGAGTAGAATCCAGTCACAAACAACACCCAGTGCTCATCCCAACAAGCACCCTCCTTAATACCCATCCCCCATTTCGCCCACCCCCCACCTCCCCCCCCGCAATCCCCAGTTTGTTCTGTGTATTTGAGTCTCTGATGGTCTTCCTCCCTCACTGTTTTTATCTTATTTTTCCTTCCCTTCTGTTATGTGCATCCGCTGTGTTTCTTAAATTCCACAGACGAGCGAAATCATATGGTATTTGCCTTTCTCTGACTAATTTCGCTTAGCGTAATACCCTCTAGCTCCATGCACGTCTTTGCAAATGGCAAGATTTCATTCTTTTTGATTGCCGATTAATACTCCATTGTATATATATACCACATCTTCTTTACCCATTCATAGTTCCTCTCGAAATAACACCAGCATTCTTCACAGAGCTAGAACAAACAATCCTAAAATTTGTATGAACCGGAAAAGACCCCAAATAACCAAAGTCATGTTGACGAAGAAGACCAAAGCAGGAGGCATCACAATCCCAGACTTCAAGCTGTATTCCAAAGCTGTAATCATCAAGACAGGACGGTACTGGCACAAAAACACACACATAGATCAATGGAAGAGGATAGAGAACCCAGAAATGGACCCACAAATACACGACCAACTAATCTTCGGCAAAGCAGGAAAGAGTATCCAATGGGAAAAAAAGATGGCCTCTTCAGCAAACGGTGCTGGGACAACTGGACAGCGACGTGCAGAAGAATAAAGAGAAAATTTTAAATAAAACTTGAAACAAAGAATATTATACCAATAATCCAACAGGTGTTTTGGGCGATGAGCCATTTTGAAAGTGGTACAAGGAATAAATCTAATTGAGAGGTGTCCCACTGGGTCTGACTTATGGCGCTGCCTCGGACAGAGTTATCTCGGTTCACTCATGCGCTACGTGGGGGAACTTGGACTGTGCCCAAGCTTCAGAGAGACCACGGAGGGTTAGCATGGGCTCTGGAGCTGGCAGTCCGGACACTCCCCACTCCACCAGATCTGTAGTTGCCTAAACCAGAAAAAAGGAACACAGTCAAGAAAGGACAATGGCACCAGCAAGGCAAAAAGACCAGAGCCCTTTTCTCTCAGCCCTTCCTCCCCGAACTCACACACCTGAGGACAGAGAAGTAAGAGAGAAAATCCTGTTCCTTCCAGATTACAAGTCCAAGGTGGCATCAGAGCTTGGCTCCAGAAAAGAGAATGGATATGAGTCCCGAATGGGATTGGACTTTTGAATCACTGCAAGGTTTGGGATCTATGACAGCATAAGAATTAGGAAGGAAACTATTTATTGAACGTCTACCGGGTGCCTCAAATGGACACATTTGCTGGGAATACAGCCGTGAGGGAGACACACACAGCCGTGTTCTCAGACAGCTGACATTCCAGCAGGGAGGCAAAGCAAAACCCAACAAAAATACAGAGGGACCAATAAGTGAACTTCATGACTCAGGAAGTGAAGACTGCAAGAGAAAACATGAAGACGATGAAAGAACAGAGGGTGAATTAGTCACTGGGTGAAATCCTCCAAGAAGGTTATGTGGGGGGGTGGGGGAGGCATCTATTCTGCGGGGGGTGGGGGGTGATGACCTCCAGGTTAGGTCAGCTGCTCTGAGCCCCTCTGGCCCCACAGCCCATGGGCTCCCAGTGCTCCTCACAGTAAGTGAAAGAGTCTGCATCTAGAAGGGTCTGGCAGCTCCCAGATGGGCTCTTCCTGCAGGGAGGAAGAGGCGATGATTCTTCTCCAGGGCTAGACACACAGAGAACACTTACTGAACTCCCTGGAAATAAAACGGAACACAGTGAAGTCAATGAAGGGGAGACGGATTGGTAGAAGGTCAAGTGGTGCTCATGGGTCGAGGTGGTCATCAGAGAAAGCCCGCCATGATGGTTACCCTCTGAGGAAGGCAGCAGATAGCCATTTGTACCTCCCTGCCCAGGACAGAGCAGTCTGAATGGAGGAGACACGGCTCAACAGAACTCCAGGGACGGAGGAGTCCTCCAGCTTTGTCCTCGGCCCCATGGCGTCTTATCCAGACATCTCTGAAGATGCTTCCCTCCGCCTCCCTGATTTCCCCGGGGGGCAGCAGTGTCTCAAGTCTTAGACAGCAGCTGAGAGATGAGACCCCGTAGACCCTCCTGCTCAGTGCGAGGAGATGGTTTGTCTGCCAGGGGCTCTTCCCCAGGGACAGCTTTATGGCCTTTCAAATTGAAATCCTTGGCTTGAACTTGAGCCCTTCTCTTCAAATAATTTTTTCTTCTTAGCTTGGCTTTTAAAACAAACATAACTCTGCTTCCAGAAAGATGGAGAATACGAATGTTTCCTTATCCTCCCAGTAAGCAAAATGGAAAAACCAATCCCTGGTTTCTCTCTGCCAGGTGGACAGGGGCAGGTAGACCAGCTACAGAATGGAGGAACCATATGGTGGGAGTTCCCTGGGATTTCTTTTTGCCTCATGGATTCTAGACCTGGAAATGGAGCCAGCAACCTGGAAATACCAACAGTCACTGACCCCACCCCATCCCCCTCCAAAAAAACCAAAAAAGAAAAAAGAAAAATGCTTACAAGGAGGCAGAAAAACTAGATCGCACACACATTGCTTGCTGGTGGGCACATAAACTGATACAGCCTGTCTGGAAAAGGGTTTAGCAGTTTCTTACTCAATACACAGCTACAATACAACCTAACAACTGTACTCCTGGGTTTTTTCTCACCAGTAAAATGAAGACATATATTCACAAAAAATATATGAAGACATATATTCACACTTTCCTCCACAGGAAAGTTTATAGCAACTTAGTTTGGAATAGCCCCAAACTGGAAACAACCAGATGTGTTTCGATGAATGAACCGTTAAAGACAATGTGGTCTATCTGTAGCATGGAAAGGTATTCAGCAATAAAAAAAGGAAGGAGAGAAACAGTATCAATTAATAGCGTCCA